ACTTCTGTGAGCTGCTTGCAAGCGTCCAGAATGGAGGATGGAGGCCCAGGCTCCCTGCAGCGCCGAGGCTGCCCGAGCAGTGCAGCAAACCCCCGCGGAGCAGAGCTCTGGTTCCCGGCACGCGGAGACTGAGCACCGAAGTGTACTGGCAGAGGCAGGGCCCTGTGTGCCGGATGGCCATGGTCTGGCTCTGCTCCTTTGCACCATCGTGCCGTGGCCCATGTGCAGATTTTCACCAGCTCCCGACACTTTGCCCCAGGAGGGTGGTCTGTGTCCCCTGAGACGGAGGAGATGGACAATTCAGACTCACAGTGAAGGAGAAACAACAGACCTGAGAGAAAGCGGTCACGGCCTTATAACATGGCTTCCACAGATGTACGAGAGTCGCGCTCCAACGCCCAGCCTTTCTGGCACGTCCCTCGTGATGGATGAGATGTGTGCGGCTTTTTGCAGGGAAGGGGGTGTCCGCTCTCTTCTATTTCATTCACTCGCTCACCTAACAGCTGTGTCACCCATGCCTGAGCGCTGGCACTGCACAGGCGACGAAGCTACTTGGGGTGTTCTTGGCTCAGGGGTCACAGCCTAGTGGGGATCAGGCTGGCAAGGATAATGGCACGTCAACTCGGGGGCCCTCCAAGAAGGCCCAACCTCCCCTCTCAGCAGCTAGGCAAGGCCACTGTGTCGTCATCATGGAACCCTGAAGTCAGGACGGATGTTGCAAGGATCAGCTTGCTGGCCGTGCGCGAGCCCTCTCAGCGGTGACCCGCGGAGCTTCCCTAAGCGGCCCGCAGCGACGCTCTGGCTGCACTTGCCGCAGGGCAGGCTGAGCCGAGGGCCTTGCGTGCGTTCCCTTCCCTGAAGCTCACAGCAGCTCCAGCATCGGCCTTACTACCATCCTCATCTCAGATGAGGAGACAGGCACGGCGGGGGGCGGAGCTCAGGCCCCTGGCCAGCCCCAGACTCCCCCACTTGCCCAGTGGTCCTCTGAGCAAGGGAAGGATCCCACACAGACAGGTCTACTTCCTCAGCTTCACCTTTTCCTTTGTTTTTAATAGAGATTTTACTATAGGTCATGTGTGCTCGCTGGAAAGACGGAGACAGAAAGCGAGAAATCACCCCCTGTGGGCACAGCCATGCCACAATCCCTTCTCCATTCTCTCGGGATTTTGGACACCCACACGCACCTGGCTTGAGTTTCAAGCAGCTGGGTCCAGGACTTGAACCACAGTCAACTACGTGGGAGTCCAGTGATGTAACCACTGCACCATCTGCTGGTCCCTGTGCTCCATCTTTTTGTTTTACTCTGGCTTTGCACGGGTCCTGAGTGGGAAGGGATAGGCAGATCCCAGAGGCACGAGTCCGATTCCAAGGGCACAAGGCAGCGTGGCAGTGACAAGAACGCAACGCCTGGTCGCCGTGGGCTGCTGGTGCAGGATGCAGGGGCGGTGTGTGCAGGCACTCCCTACAAGGCACGGGGTAACTCTCGGGGTGCACTGCCAACTCCTGCTGGGTCCCAGACCCAGAGGCAGGAGGGGTACCCACAGGGACCCCCGCTCTGCCCGTCTAAGTAAGCCAGGCATCGGTTTATTCGCAAGCTGCCCAGGTACTGGGAAGGGAGCGTGCTAATGGGTTACCATGGAGAAAACAGAAATACTAACATATGAATATGTAAATATTTAGCTTCTAAGAACATGCCTGGCAGTATCCTGGAGCCAAGAAATGTGGTTGAAAGCATGGATAGGCTTTGGAGCAAGAGTGACTTGGGGACAAATCCTAGTGTCACATTTCTTGTGTGCTTTTCGGAAAACATCTGAAATCGGAGGGTGTCCTCAGCCTCCTGGAAGTTCTCATCTGCTTAGCCCTCTGGGCCTCAGTAACAGAGAGAGGATATCGGGACCCACTCCCAGGTGGCTGTGAGGACAACAGAGGAGCGGGGGGGGAACAGCCTGGTGACCCGGGAGGTGTGGATCACGGGCTGTCGGGGTCAGTTTGGGTGGTGAGAAGCATGGAAGGCAGGACGCCGGAGCCTCGACAAGGCCACGGCCACGTTAGGCGCCCACGACACGTGCACCCGCCTCCCTCCGCGGGCCACACTGCAGGAGGAAGACACCATCTTCTGATGGCCTCACCTCCCTTTCAAAGCAGTGGCTCTTTGGCAATGAGCTCCGCACAGCCATACTGGCCGGTCCTCTTTAGGTGTGTCTCAGTTTTGTTCAAACCATGAGCAAATGGGCCAGAGCTGACTTTGCCAACCCCTAGGAGAGGGCAGGAAGGGCCGGCCACCGTGGCTCATTTAGAAGCAAAACAAAATGACTTCCCTCGGGGTACTGGAAAGGAGAGGGCTTTGCTGCTGTCCCCCCGACTGTCCTTATTCCCTGCAGACCGAGGAGAGGCCCTGGCAGCTCATGAGAGCAGAGGCCGCAGCTGGGGCGGGGGAACAGATCCCGACAGCTGCTGGAGAACACAAATCCCTTCTCTTAGACGACTCGGAAAACTCCTTTGAGCTGCTGGAGCATTTCTTCCTGAGCCCCGACTCTGGGAGCTGGAGGGAGAGAAACAGCCTGGCGCTGGCTCAGGAGAGCTCCGGCCTTCTTGCCAGTGGAGGACTGCGTTAGGACAGGGGAACTTCGGATCACAGGAGGACACGGGGCATCACGCTGCAGAGTTGAGAAGAGTGATCGCAAAACGGGACGCCTCTTGTTTCAGGGTACGACGAGGGAAAACACAAGTGGGTCGTCCTCCCACGACCAGACTACGCTCTGTAAGGCATTCTATGTTTTCCTCCTAAGAGTTGCAAGTCCGTCTGCACACTACGCTAAAGTGCAGCGATGCTGGACATGAAGAAGCCATTATGGTTGCTGGCTAACCGGGTGCTTCTCACTCACACTTGACCACGGGCCCTTTGGCTAAGAAACAATTCTCTCTCAGGCGTGTCACTGTTCCAAGCACGGTCAGGGCCTCCCTCACCTCCACCACACGGCTGCGTGCAGGTGGCGGGGATGCTTTGTCTCTGGAAGCGTGACTAGGTCTCCCAGCACAGGGAGAAATCACAAACGCAGCAGGCTGTCTGGGAAAGGAAACACGGGCGATGAGGCCAGCCCCCCACCTCACTGACCCAGTCCTGGATGTCCATACTTGTTAGTTCAGTCTCTCTCCGGGGTAAGTCTCAGCTTGGGAATGAAGGAAGACAGTGCTTAAGTAGAGAAGAGTGAAAACCATGCCCAGTCTGGAAGTTTCTGTACACAGTAGCTTTCATGAAGGGCAACCCAGGACAGGGAGCCACTGGACACCTCTGGGCTGACCTCTGCTCAGCACAGGAGCACTTTCAAGAAGCCGATCTGCACTGCTTTACTTTAAAAAAAGACAAAAATACAAAAGAAAAATGCACCAGCCAGGTATTGCAGCAGAAACTGATGATAACTGGGGACAGCAGGAAGGGAACCTGCGTCCACTCCAGCCGCTTTACTGTGTGGTTTAGAGTCTGTCTGGTTCTGGTGTCTGTCCTCTGGCTCTTGGAGCGGACCAGTTTTCTTGGAGTATAAATTGATTGAATTCTGAAAGGCCAGATATTCTATGTAGATGAATTTCTGATTTCAAAGACACTTTGAAGCTGGCTACACATTGGGTGATTTCCATGAGTCATTACAACAGAAACCCCGACGCACACTGGGAGGTCCGCTTGTGATCTTGCTTAGATCCTTCTCGATTTAGAAACTTTACGGGGGGCTATAAATAGATCACATCTGTGTAATTTTTCCTCCTTTCATCCTTCCTTCAAGGGCTGGTCAGTAATTTTGACCTACCCCAGAGGGTAGCCAGAAAATTTCTTTTTTTTTGGGGGGGGAGATTTTTGCTATAGGGTGTGCGTACTTGCGGGATAGATAGAAAGCAAGAAATCACCCCCCCCCAGGGGATGGCCATACCACAATCTTTTCTTTTGTATTCTCTCAGGATTTGGGGTACACATGCACATGTGCCCGGCGTGAGTTTCAAGCTACTGAGTCTGGGACTCGCACCGTGGTGACCCACATGGGAGTCTAGTCACTGCCTTCATGACCATGCCACTTGCTGGCCCCAGCCAGAGAAATGCTACCACTTGTTTTCCAGAACGCTCTGGCTGCTGGACCAGAACAAAGGCATTTTCAAATGAGGTTCGGTGATGCTAGTCAGGACTAAGCGATGCTCATTATCCTAGACTGCAGCTCTGGAGTTCACAGCAGGGCGTCTTTGCTAGGCCGTACGGAGGGCACAGATCCATTCAGCGGGAATGTGGGCAACGAGGGCAGTTGTCAGGAGTGCTGTCCTGGGGGGCTGCCCTCCACCTCAGACTACACGTGCGGGGGAGTCAGGGCCAGGGCAGAAGCTGTATGAGCTGGAAGGTCAGGCTGCTTATAACCAAAAGCAGGAGGAGGAGAGCGCTGATTTTTTTTTTTTTAAGAATTATTGATTTAATTTAATTTCTTCTTATTATTATTTTTTAATCTGCTATAGGACACGCATGCACACCAGAGAGAGAAAGCATGCCGCCAGGTCTAGGATTCAAACTGCAGTTGGCTATGTGGGAGTCCAGCGCCCTAACCACCACACCATCTGCTGGCCCCAAGTGCCCTGTTTGAAAAGAGCACAGTACCAGTTACCTGTACAGAACTGGCCTGGGGCAGTGGGGTGCCAGCACTGACTTTTTTTTTTTCTTGAGAGTTTTTTTTTTTTGCTATAGGGCGTGT